TCAGAGCGCATACAGGAATTTCATATTTATCAATTTTGTCTGACTTTTATGAGATTTTTAAAGCTATTTGCATGTGCAAATTATCACTAAAACAAGTGCAATTATTTTTACTTTAAGCTTGTGGTATTGCTTTTCGTTTGCTTGTGAATTTGTGGTTGTGGATCTGGTGACGAAGAAAATATTCCAGATTTTGATTGTATATTTGGAATTATGTATATCTCCCATACTTAGCTCCCATTTGAATGTCCAGGTAGACTCCTCCACAAGTTTTATTCGACCTCGTTGACGAGTCGTTGAGTCCCTGTGAGCATGTAGGTTCTATTCATTTCTAATTAGGTCATACAAGATGATTTATATACTCTTTTTAGCCTTTAATATGTAGCTTAAAAGCTTTCAATCGGATTGTATGTTGGTCCAATCACAATGGCCATTTCAAACGTGTCACTTGCTTTAAACCTTTCAGGCGACGAGATGGTTTTAACGCACTTCCTGCACAATGCCACATGCATTTCTCTGTTGATCTTGATTTCGCTGTTGTGTTGTCGGTGAAGTAGGTTCAAAGTGGGCTGAGGTGTAGAGGTGGTTGTTTGTCGGAAGAGATAGTGAGCTTGTGCGGAGAGGGAGTGGCTGGGTTTCTTGCGTGAAGTGTAGGTGATGGAGAGGGCTCCCAGGTAAAAAGCGGAGTAGTGGTTGCCGTACTTAGGTTGTGCGGGCCGAGAGGAGAGGGATGGAAGGCTCGGATCTGTGTGCCGTGAAGGCGAAGCGAGGAGGCTTTGTGGGGGAGACGGGCTGCTACAGATGAGCCAAGATGAGGCCGCTGGGTGTGGCGGATGAGCTCCTAGCGGGTGAGAAGAGGTTCAGTGGGGAGCAGCGTGGGATGTGAAAGAACAGGCGATCGAGCTGCTGCGCAGGAGAAAAATTTGGGTGCCAAGTTATATTAACGTTAAATCCGCATTGTATCCTCTTTATATTGCCTACAATCTCGATATAACCTCTATATAACCTACCTGAACTTACAAATAAATTTCGCGCTTCTGTTTTCACATATTTGTAGGTTACATATATGTTACATAGAAATTACGTGGATGTTACAGAGGATATAACATGAATATAATGTGAATATAATACAAATATAACCTTCATTGTGTAAGCAGCGCTGTGTATGTCTTACGTACGCAAATTTTTTCCGTTGCGCAAGGTGTGGTGGTGATGCGCAGGATATGAAAGAACAGACGTTTCGGTCTAAATTGCAAATTTTATACCGGTGGTTTGTCTACTTCATTCGTGATCTTTTTGATCATATGAGACACCTTTTATAGTAACTTTTACACTTCAGACACGCTTGCATGATTTGTTTTATGACCGGACGTGATTTGAGCAACTTCGCCGATAATCAAGATGATTTGAGCTTAAATTGTGCTTATCATGCCAAAAAATTGTCGTTGTCATCTATTCACTCTTTTCAACTATGAAAGACTTATCTTTATGCTTTTTGATGTTATGAACACAACGACGGAATCCGATTTGTAATTCTTGACGAACATCGAGACATTTCACATTTGATCGTGCAATGTCACATCTTCATTTGTCGCTCTCACCATGTCCAATCGACTCATCTTGTGGAGTATATATGAGGGTCAACATCAACAAACATGATTGCCTAGATGAAAATTCCCTTTTTTTTTATAGATTGATCTTGAATGTGGTTGATTCTTTCATATAATCAACTAGCTCACATAATGAAAGTCCAACAAAAATAATTAAAGAAAATATATAAAAAAAACCAAACCAACCAAAAAACCATCTGCTATGCAATATAGCCCAGAATGCTCACGTCGCACTTTTTTGTCCACTTGCGCTTTTCCATGCTAATGGCGCAGAAGGTGCGCACCATTACCCCATGTGCTGTGACTCATGATAGTAGTTATTGGTAAGTATGATTTTTAGCTTCTAGTTGCCGGTTCAAAATTATATATGTACTTTTGATTTGTTATTTGGGTGGGACAAATTTTCTCTTTGGGGATAAATTTGGTGAAGCAATGCAGGTAGTGGAGCCAACTTAAATTTTCTATTTTTGAGCTTCATTTAATCCATTGATCAGACTTAGGATCATAGGAGCAGTGCAAATAATCATAAATTTGTTAGGTAATATGGAGACCTGGTCTACCGAATTTAATTAGCTTCTTAATTAAGTATTCCACCTACCGCTCACCTATCACACCCATCTACCGCTCACCTACCACATCCCACTTACCGTTCACCTACCTCCCACCTACCGCTCTCATGGTTTCTATAAATAGTCTCTTAGCTTAAAGGAGATGCCAAGCCTCAAGCCAAGCAAAGCCAATCAAGGCTAAGCCAAATCCTCTTGAGACCTAAGAGAAAAGAGAGGAAGAGAGAGAGACAGAGGAAGGGAGAGAAGAAAATATAGGTTTTTTTGTAAACATCGAAACGCTCGACGATGTAATTTCTCAAGGAAATAAAATTCTCTGCAGCTCTGTGAATGTAGGCAAATTTGTCAAATCACGTAAATCTGTGTGTCGCTCTGGTGTTTTTCTCTGTGTGAGAATTTTCTCGTTCCATTTTTTACTTTATTGTCGTTGCTTTTCACAAAAACTAGTATCAGAGATTTGGGTTCGAATCTAAGGAAGAACGATGGACGGAGACGAAGTAATGACATCGAGGATCAAGAAGTTCAATGACACGGATTTTACTTACTGGAGGATGCAGATAGAGAACTACCTCTATGGGAAGAACTTCATCTTCCATTACTGGAAAAACGACCATAAAAGATGGACGAGACGAAATGGAATATGTTGGATCGACATGTTCTGGGAGTCGATAGGTTCTAGGGGTTATACGATTAACCCTGTCGAGATTGGTTGCCCATAACGTCATCAATAAGAGGACTACTGCAAATCTCATTGCGGCTTTATCATGTATGTATGAAAAGCCATCGACGAATAGCAAGGTGCATCTAATAAAAAAGTTATTCAACTTGAAGGTGACGGAATGTGTGTTTGTTGCTCAACACCTAAATGATTTCAACACTATCACAAATCAGTTATCGTCTGTTGAATTGATTTTGATGATGAGATACATGCGCTGATATTGTTGGCTTCATTGTCAAGTAGTTGGAAAAACTATGAAGATGGCAATTAGCAGTTTTGCAGGTAAATCTAAGCTGAAATATGATGGTATTCGTGAGTTGATTCTGGTTGATGAGGTGCACATGAAAGATTCTAGTAAGATAGATGGAGACCACATGATAGGAACTGAAATAGAAGAAGATCAAAATCAAAGTTTGGTCAGCAGACAACCTGTTGGAATTGTGGCAAGACTGACCAAATAAAAAGGAACTACAAGAATCTAAGAAGAAGGAAAATGATGACGCTAATGTTGTAACTGAGAAATACGTGATGCATTACTGCTGACAGTTCACAGTTCTGTTGATGACTGGATACTGGATTCAGGGGCTTCCTTCCCTATATCTTTCCCTCGGGGTTCCCGTCGGGAGTTAATGTGAAATTATGTTGCAGGTAACTTTGGGAAGGAATATCTGACTGATGAAAAACTCAGGACGTGGTGGGGATGAGAGACGTTGATATTGCACTCCCTAATAAGAGCAAATGAACATTGCAAAAGTCAGACACGTTCCTGAGTTGAAGAAAAACCTCATCTCTGTTGGGCAGCTCAATGAGGGTGGTCATTTAGTGGTGTCTCAGATAGCACCTGAAAGGTTACCAAATGAGTATTAGTAATGACTCGGGGTAAGAAAACCGACACACTATATATGACTACAAGTTTTCTCAGACGTGGACACATGAGTCAGAGGTGCATTATGGGGAAGCAGAAAAAGGTCAATTTCTTGAAAAGTGATTGAGCGCCAAAGGCAGGAAAATAGGATATTGTACAGACAAATGGTGGAGAACCACAGAGCTATGAAGAAATTTTACAAGATGAGAATTCGAGCAAGTGAGAGCTGACCAAGAAGAAGGAGACGGATTCCCTGATAAGGATCATACTTGTGAGCTGACAAAACTTCTATCAAGGAAGAAAACATTGCAAAACAAGTGGGTGTACCGAGTGAAGACTGCACTTGGTGGCAGTAAGAGGTATAATGCTTGATTTTTTAAAAAGAGTTTTCAATAGGGGCAGGATATTGCTCATGAAGTGAGGTTGTAAGCAAATACAAGAGTAATCCAGGAAAGAGCTTGGTGGTACAAGGCTACGGTGGCGGGGGGGAGTGCCGGTGATATGTCAACTGAGGGTATTACTCGTGAGAAGCTGAAATTGTGCTCAACTTCAGCTGGTCTTCTAACATGAAGACAGAGGCTTTGAGTTGCAGAAGTGAAAGATATTATATTTGAGGAAAAAATTGATACAGCTAGTAGATGATACAGCCAGTAGGTGATGCATTCAGTGTCTCAGTCTCCAAGTGAGAGAATTGTTGGGTAATGTGGAGACCCGGTTCACCGAATTTAATTAGCTTCTTAATTAAGTATCTCACCTACCACACCCACCTACCACACCCACCTACCTCTCACCTATCACCCCCCACCTACCGCTCACCTACCTCTGACCTACCGCTTTTCTGATTTCTATAAATAACATCATTTGGCTTAAAGGAGATGTCAAGCCTCAAGGCAAACAAAGCCAAACAAGGCCAAGCCAAGCCCTATTGAGAGCTAAGAGAAAAGAGAGGAAGAGAGACAGAGAGACAGGAAGTGAGAGAAGAAAATAGAGATTTTTTTGTAAACGTCGAGGCGCTCGACGGTATAATTCCTCAAAGAAATAAAATTCTCTGTAGCTCCGTGGACGTAGGCAAATTTTTCGAAACACGTAAATCTGTTTGTCGCTCTTATGTTTTTCTGTGTGTCAATTTTCTCATTCCATTTTTAACTTTATTGTCGTTGTTTTTCACAACAAAATTATCCAGCTATAATTGAATGCTAGTCTATGAATTGTTGAAGACAGAACCAGAGAATGTTGAAAATTACCTGCTTGGCTACAAACTCCATGATCTCATTTGAAGAAAGATTGCTTCCAGATTTCCGAACCACAAATGCAACTGGTATCTCCCCAGCTTCCTCATCAAAGGCTCTGCACAATGAACTAGGGTAATTATACCAATACAATTTAAAATTTAAATAATACTACGCTAAAGTTTATTATCCCTCATATGAACTGAAAGCTTACGATGTCACTGCTGCATCGAGGATTTCATTGTGGGAGATCAACAAGGCTTCAAGGTCTGCTGGAGCTATCTACATGAATAACTCAATTACTGTAAGCGACATTAATGTCAAGAAAAACTGGTATTAATAGGTAAGGAAAGTTCAAGCATGTGGAATCTTACACAATTGTATATAAAATAAAAAAGTTTTTGCAGTGTAATACCTGAAATCCCTTGTATTTGATTGTATCCTTTAATCGGTCCAAAATGAATAAGTATCCATCTTCATCAAAATAGACTATGTCTCCCGTCTTAAACCAACCATCTTTGTCAATGACAGATGCACTTTCCTTCTCACCATTCAAGTATCCTATAAAAGACCAAGAAATGTTCGTGTGATGATATAAGTAAGAAAATTAATTGTCTGTAAGATGCAACAGATTTCTTCATAACTAAATATATACTACATAAATATCGTGAGATGGTACAAGTAATAAATTTTATTGAAACTATCTATGCTAACCCTATTAATAGCCTCTAAACTTCTCATTAGGCATTTTTGTATTTTTAAACATAATAAAATTATCAATGAATTTATCTGAAAATTTAGGATGAGGATATCATTGACTAAAGTTTGCTCATGTTACATGCATTTCTTCTTGAACTGCAAAATGTTTTAATCCATTTATGAAACATTTCTTTCTATTTTACAAGAGAAGGATCAAGGATAACATTTTCTTACAATACAATATATTATCTAACCCAAATCTTCCCACGAAACTGTTGACATGAAATGTTATTTATAACCATAACCATAAAGCTAAGCACATAATGCTGAATCAGCCAAAATGTCAATTATCATAGTGGTGCCCTTCAAAATAAGAAAAAGAACCAAAACAATTAGCGTCAATCAGAACAAAATCAGTCTAGCAATTCCATTAAGGCTGTTTGGATTGAAGGAAAATGAAATACATAATATTGTCTTAAGATACATTCAGGTTACAGAGTAAGAAAAAGATTCGAAGTAAATAAAATTGCAGGGAAGAACCATCTCTTAACATGTACCATGTTTTTTTTAACATTTGAACAAATGTTTTGTTCAGTTACCTTTCATTATTGCAGGTCCACGCAGCCATAGCTCTCCACTTCTTCCAGGAGGCATAGAGATCCCCGTTTCCCAATTAACTACTTTGGCTTCCGTGTTTGGAGCAAGCAGTCCTACTGAAGTATGCTTTTTACAAGTTTCAGTATTAAAACCACGAGTTCCTACTGCGGTCGATTCGGTCATACCATATCCCTGCACGATAATAATTTCCAGGAAATATGTTGTTAGATTCATGGAAAGAAGTGCAAAATAATGAATTTGCTCAATACATATGTAACAGGTGGTATATAATTGACAAGGCGAAAATGTACATGACTGATGTTGAGTCATGAGAATTTGATTCCCATCTTGTGAATTGTTAACATGTGAAATTTCATTGATAAGGAAACTAAACATATAAAAAAAAAATTGCACTTTTATGTCAACAACCCTGACAACAGCCATTCGAAATTTTAAAACTCAATATGTTTATGTCATGTTTATTAAGGAAGTGAAATTCCCTTCCTTGGGAATGGGAGTTCAAGCTCTTCTTAGGGCTCATTTGGTTGCATGTAAATAGGAAGACATGTTTAACAAAAATAATGACTTGTATTCACCATTTTTTAAAATATTTTTTATAGCTTCAAGCAACTATATAAGCATGCCCTTAGAGAAGTCTGCATAGACGTGTACAATTAGTCTTTTCAGTTAAATTGGTTGGCAAAGTCAAACTAAAGAAAAAAAAATGATGAAGGTTGAAATAATCAAATAAGATGTTGAATTGAAAATCAAAATAAATTTGGTTTATTAGGTTTGATTTTGACTTCATAAAATTTTCAAATCTTAGCAAAGATTCGAGCTCTCGATGAGTTCAGATTGATTAAATGACAGATTTATGAAACCAACTGGTTGATGGATAGATTTTAATTGCAATGTAATTCGAGTTTTTAGTTTAAGGGAAGTTTTTTCTTCTTTTAAAACTGAGCCAAATCAAAAATAACATTTAATTTGGAACCAAAAAGCAAACAATAATTCATAAATCAAACAAAATCAACCAAA